TGTGTGTGTGTGTGTGTGTGTGTGTGTGTGTGTGTCTTATAGTCTCCACATTTTATTTTTAACTGCCTTTTTCAGTTTATTCCAAAATCAATTAGATCAATTAGAAATGAGATCATTTAACACCCTTACCTGTAGAATATTTAGCTCAATATATAATTGTCTAATTACACTTGATATCAGGTGTTAGCTGTAGGCAAACATGCCCCTCTGCAAGAGAGCCGGTTCATCATTTGCATTAAATTCTGTGTTGACTCTGTTTGTCCAAATGGGGACGATTGAGAATGAAATGCACAGGATTGACTTTTAGCATGAAGGCAGAGAAAAGGAAGTGAAGGGCCCACCCCTACTGAGTCCAGTTCCTGGTTATCACATGTCAAGTTCTTCTGCTGCAGCAGATGAAGTTACAACAAGCCAGGAGCAATCAGGGACACCACACCATTCACTAGTATATTATCAAGAAGAGCAAACATATTGCTGTGAAGGTGGGTTGACCTCCAGTGTCATATCAGCATGGTGGAAATACATCTTTGGCACTGACCTGCTCACACCCTTTAGTATATCATGCCAAACAGTTTGTATCCAATATGATGGGAAACAACATGAAATCAGAAAAACAACTATTATACTTTCTAGATTTATCTCTTTTTAACATATGTAAATATATATAACTCCTTCCATTGAGGCAGATAGAGTCAAACAAATAAAAGTTACTGGACTTTGTAGTGAGACTGTGTTTGTTAAATACTGTTTCCAAGGTTAAGAATAAATGCTCAGTCTCAATGCTGATCCTGCAGTTTGAATAAAACTGATAAAAAAAGCTAAATCAATGTTTTCCAAACACTAAAATGTTTAGAAAAGCTATGTCTAAACTGCAAGTTACATTTTTGGCAAATCATCTTTGCAATAGACAGTGTAAAATACTGGACTGCCAAAATCATCATATTTCAAATTCTAGTGGTATAACTTGGTAGCTTTGAATGCAGTGCAATTACATTTCCATCCAGCCTAATTTGCACGACTATTATCATGAAATAAGTGAAGATATCTGTCTCAAAAAGTTGCTAAATATGTTGGAGACTGCAGGGATTAAAACCGAAAGGCGTACGTGTGTATCCTAGTATGTGTGTGTATGTGTGCGTGTGTGTGACCCAGTACAGAAGGGAGTAGATGGGTTAGCCCCAGCTGGGTTGTGCTTTTACGTCTGAGGAAGCACAGAGGGGGGACACAGAGGTCAAGAGCAAACTGTTGATACTCATTAGAAGCTGCTGTTGGACTCAGGCAAAACTAATTACCACAAGCTGAACTGAACCAAGCAGGAATGAACTCAGCTGCACTGAAGGGTGCTGTTTAATTCATGTGCATATCAACAGAACAGAATAGAATAGAACAGAATAGAATAGAACAGAACAGAACAGAATAGAACAGAATAGAACTCACGGCTGGCAGAGTTTGATGAGGTCCTGGTCGGTGGTGGCCGGCGGCAGGCCTCTGATGTACAGGTTGGTCTTACTTAGCTGCTCCATCAGCCCTCCTCCCTGACCTCCTCCTCCACCTCCACCTCCACCTCCTGTGGTGCCGGGGCTGGGCGGAGCCATGGGTTGCGGGGGAGGAGCATAGGACTGCTGTGGAGAAAAAGAGAGGGAAAGGTTAGTTTAGGTCACAACACAATGAAAAATGCATTTTTTTTTCTAAGCAAATCTAATGACGCCAAAGTTATTTTCAGTTTCTGCCCCTCAGTCCTCCCCATTAAACAAAATCTCTTCTTTCTACTGAACTCACATCCTTTTGAATAATCTCTTCCTGCATCAAGCCCCACCGCAATTTCTTGATGCAACAGGAAGCACATCAAATTAAGGAAGCAGGATCTGTGTAATTACTAGTGCCTATTATGATTATGGCACCAAGTTTTACTATGAGCTTGTATCATTAACAATTATAGGCTGTGATGCATCTTTGCAGCAACTTCTACTGCTTTAGTTAGCTTTGATGATACTGCAATAAACATTGGTATTCAGTCGGTGTCATCATCATGACTGGAGTGACCTGCTGTAAGTTACAATGCTTTCATGTTGTGGATCAGGAAATGTTTCGGGACACTGGCAGCTTTCTTAAAGATGGGGAGGTTTTCAAAGTGTTGATGGACAAAAGGCTCCGAATATGTGTCCTCTCTCTGGTGCGTGCGTGTGTGTGTGTGTGTGTGTGTGTGTGTGTGTGTGTGTGTGTGTGTGTGTTAGCACAGCACAGAGAGATGAATCAACACAGTAAAAATAGAAGAAACCATCTTGACAGGTCATTTAGAGAACAGTATCTTAAAATGTGATCATTTAACTTGTTTATGGATCAAAAAGATCCAAAAACAATGACATTTTCTCGATACACGTGATCTTCCTTCTTCAAGGTACCGTCATCTATTTAAAGGAAATCTGAATAGATGCAAGATTGCATTGGATGCATTTACTGTCAAGCATCCCTTCATAGGGGCACAAACCAGGCCATTCAGTGTTTAATTCAAGTCTGGGCATTTTATCAGCCCTAACTTACTCAAACGTTTCCAATTAGCCTCTTCTGTCCAATTACACAGCTCAGTACTGACTAAATGACTTAATAAGATGACCATTTCTGGGAGGGAGGAAGACTAGTCTGAGGATTAATGAGGGTTCAGGTGGGTTCAGAGTGCACGCCTACCCCTGCCTGCCCGCAAGCTATCATTTCAAGTTTGGAGGAAGTAAAACAGTCTGATGGCTCATGTGACGACAGCGTTCAAGAAACACTCTGTCTGCTGCCTTGATGTCTGGAGCAAAACAGCCACAGCGGCTCGACAAAGAAGTCCGGTCTCAGCATCGGTCCTACTGTTGGGAACTGGATGGAACAAGTTCAAGATGATCACAGGCTAGTTGCACTGTGTGCCATGATGACGAGTGAGAGAGACAGGCAAAGACAGAGGATGGAAGGGAAGGGTGAGAGACAGGTGAGACAGGAAGAGCGTATGCGCTTGGATGTATACTGTATTTGGCAGTGTGTGTGTGCTTGTGCGCAGGCATATGCTAGAGAGTGCCTGTGTGCTTGTGTGTGTGTATTTTGTGTGTGGTTGTGTGTGTGTATTTTGTGTGTGTGTGTGTGTGTGTGTGAGCCGGTGTTTGTGATAATGACAGGTTGTCACCACACAGCAATGCGGAGCCTGAGCCAGCTCTGATATTAATCCATTACCTGTACTTCCCTCAACTGGCACACAGTTCCTGACACACACACACACACACACACACACACACACACACACACACACACACACACACACACACGCTGGCAGCTCAGAGACGACAGCACTAACAGGATTCAGCACATGTACAGGAGACATGCAGCAGCAAGAGGAGATAGTGCTTGTGGAACAGTGTCATTTACGGGCCAGTGCCTTACACTAACAGCCCAGAATGAGCATATACACTTAAAAATAAATAAATAAATAAAAAAAACTACAGAGAAGAAAAAAGGAGACACTGGGCAATACTTTATTTCAATGGCTGTGACAAATACTACTCTTTCTTGCAAGTGTCTCCTTACACCAGTTTCCAATACAGTGTTCACTGACAAAATATTGTCTCTTAGTCTTAAAGCTATTGATGATGCAAATGTAAGAAATGCAAAGCGCTAAAATGGATTTAATCTTCTTAATTATTCAGAGATGTAATTGAAAAATTAAATTAGTTAGTTGTCAAGCAAAACTGTCACTGTGCTGATCTATTTGCTGTTTTTCTTTCTGTTTTACTGTAAATTGATTATTTTTGGTATTAATACTCCAGGCTCGAATAAATTTTTTTCTTTCTTTTTACTATTTTCAGACACTTTATACAGTGAGTGATCAATCAATATTAAGAATAATCATTAGCTGCATCCCTAAATATCACTAGAAATAGAAGAATTTTATCGATTCACGAGGACTGGCTTGTCATATGTACCAGCTTTCTGCACTTCCTGTAACTTTAAGAAAAGGTTAACTCACATTTTTTAAATTAAAAAAACATTTTTTTTATTTGCCAGAAAACACACATGCAGAGAAAATAATCAAATTTCCAGACACTCCAGAGGAGCTTCTGAGCACTCAGCAGTGTGTGTGATTTGCGTTCGCATGTATTGATTTGCGTTCGCATGTATATGACTGTGATCATGATAATGAAAGCCTGAACAGTGTTGAGGACTGATTCAATATGAGCCTCTTGACAGTGGGTTTGTTTACCGACCACCCCTGAAATATAATGATGATGATGGGAAGTGTCAGATACAAATAAAAGACCCCCGGCTGCAATCTGAAAGAGAAATACCATTGAAATAAAAGCTAAAACATGCTAAAGATAACACAAATATAAAGCCAGCACATGCAATATATACACACACACACACACACACACACACACACACACAGACAGAGACACACACAGTCAGCCTTATCTATGTACATTTATTTTATTCCACTGTGATGTGGAACAGAAAAGAGCCTTTCTTCATTCCCACATACACACACTCAGATGTCCAGGTATGCACAAATGTACAAAATCTCTCCGCTTTCTCTAACTCGCTGACACAACTCACACACACGGACACACACAAACACACACACACACCTGATCAAAGGTCTTGCCCAGGGAACCTCTTTCAGCCAATTTGTGCAGCTGTCAGGGTCTGGGCGATAGTGAGCTGTGTATGTAATGTGTCAGACACTGTGATAGGGAATCCTTTGAAACATTAAAATCTCTCTCTCTCTTTCTCTCTCTCTGGCATCCACGCTTTCTCTCCTCTTTTACCTCTCGCTCACTGTCAAATTTAACTCCACCATCGCTCAATCTCTCGCTCTTTTCACCTCTATCCCTCCACTTCCCATACACTCGCTCTATATCTCTCCCTCTCTCCCTCCTCTCTTTCTCTCTTTTAAGGATTACTCTGCAGTCGGGCTGTGTGGACTGAAGGCTGCATCTCAGCTGGTATTGTTGATACACTCAGTACAGTGGAGCAGCTCTCGCAGTGGGGAATAGGCTCAGAGGCAGCGACACAAACTGTCACACAAAACAAACAGTCATCGGGTTTTTTCGTACATTTCATGCGCGGCTGAGCCTGTGAACAACAACGCACTGCACAACGCTGCTGCACGCTGTCATATATGTGCATGCTGCGACTATCTGATGAGCATATATGTGACTGCAAAGAGGAAAACAAGTTACTTATCCTCAAGACACTAGAAGATGTTTAGAGCACATCTTCAAACATTTGCCTTTCACTGAGCTACAGTGCAGCTGTCATGGCATCACTTGCATCACCTTGAACAGGTAACAGACTGTTGGTCTGCGTATAGGCCCATTCATGACATACATATTTGATCTTGCCTTGAAACTTGTTTGTTTATGGGTGAAAAAATAAAGAAATATCCCTAAATAAATGAGTGGAGAAACATAATGAATGCAGATGGATCCCAAAGACTTGTTGAACCTAGACCGAAGCATATTGAACCCGCTCTGTAGGGTCACAGTGGCCAAACACCTTCAGACACTTAATGTTGCTTTTTTTCTTTAATTTGTCACACGGATATCATCAGTGAATCCAATAAATATTCATTTCATCTTGGAAACAACTGCTTGCTTTGGTCTGATTTGGAGAAACGTGGTTATAGAGGCTTACTGACATAGTGACTAGACTCGTGTGGGTAGTCCTGCTGACTCCTGTGTCATAACTGTCTACAGACCGTTTCTCTTTTGTGGAGCATTTTATTTTCCAAATCAAAGTAGACGGTGCCACACTGCTAATTAGCTACAATAGCTTCCTCTGTTTTGGACTCTTCTGCTCCCAGTTCCCTCAAAGATCAGCACAGTCAAGATGACTCGGGCTGATTTGTTTTGCCTCTGTTAGTGAACCCCTGCCACTCCAACCCCCCAACCCCCCGGTCCTGATTTTTGTTTTTGCATACTGAGGCTCAGTGTGTCTCAGTGTCTTGCCACTGTATCTATGCACATTGCAGAAGAGAGATGCCAGAGGTAAAAGAGCCGCAGAGAGACACAGACAAAGACAGTAACAGGGCTTGAGAGCTTAATAGCCAACAATGAGCCCATTGGTTTGCTGCTATAACTCAGTTCCATACATTTTAACAAAGCATCTCTGGCAATATGCTCCTCCATGTACATTTAATATGATGTAACACATTCTTTCTCACAGCTGTAGGCGTGTATGTATTTATATATATATATATGCAGACATTAACACACATTCATCGCAGGATCAAGCTTAGCAGCATTTAGCAGGGTCCATTATAGTAGGAGGGATGGAAAGATTCACTAAGTGACGATATGGAAGCACAAAGGGAGGGAAAGGAGAGGGAAAAGAAGTTGCACAGTCCCAGAGAGGGGTGAACTTTAGGTGAAAGGTAGGAAGGGAGGGATAAAGAGATGGAAGAGAGAGAGAGAGTGGAAGAGAAGGCGGCAGAGAAAGGAACAGCGAGACGGTGAAAGAGAGATGGCTGATGAAGAGATTTGAGTGAGAAGGAATAAGAAGAAAGAAGATGGGACATGGGAGAAAGGAAAGAGGGGGACATGGGAGAGCGGGTTGTTCCGGCCTCTTCTGATGCTTCCTGAAACACAGAGGA